TATTCGATGAAGACCTTAGAGCAGTGGACATCAGTTGCTACAAAGTTTCCCTAGCCTTCGACAATTAACTGTGCGCTTTTCCAATAAAACTTGGTTGAATTGCTCATTACACTCTTTGTCACAACACTAAATAACCTTTGAACTGGCCTAAGATAGCTCATATACCTTACATTAGAATCAACGGTAAAGAATTCTAGTCCTTGGGATTTTTGGGATTGTGATGGAGGGGTGTCAGTTCCACGGTAATTTTCTTTCCCCATGTACTTTCTTTTTGCGACATTCCTATATGCCTTTGAACTTCCCTTGTATGATTTTCCTTGTTGTGTAAGTTGCATGTTTTCATTTTTTGTCCCTATAATTTCATAAATGAAATCTATGTTATTTGGTTTGCACATCCAATGATGGTAAGAAAATAATTTCTTGCGCATGCATGAGTCCGGATATGAATGACCTACTTAAGAGGCCCGGCCTAAGAGAGACTTAGACCCGACTTAAGAGAGACGGTGCACGAAAACTGGCGTGAGAATACAATTACTATTAAAACCAAAAGTAAAATGATGGTAAGGCATAATTAATTTACAATCTATTATGCATACTATAATCGAAGAGGTTGGATCATCTAATTTTTTGTTTTGCTGTAGCTTGGATACTTCCTAGTTCCTACATCTGGTTCAAATTCTTCTCATAGTGATCTTCTAGTATGTTTTATGGCATTTGTTAATGGTGTGTTGTCTCCTCGGTGCTGTCATCAGGTATTGCCCCATCTATTTTCATTGGCTTGTAACAGTTTTTAACTAACAGGTAGTAAAAAATAGATCTTACTTAAATTTATTGAAGAAAAAAATTATAAAATTTCTATGAAAGAAAATAGATGGCATCATTATCTAAACATTAATTATTGTTAGTCGGTAAGTTTGACCAATTTTTTAAAACACTTTCAAACTATCATCATTTAAATATTTTGTTTGTCTAATTATGCCTTTTAGTTTTGTACCAAGCTAAAACTCTTGGATTAGCTTTATAAACGTTTTTTATTTTTAATTCTTACTATTTATGTTTTTTAGAAGTTTCATAATTTTTTTTTCAATAAATCAGAGTGAGATTTATTTTTTACTTCGTGTCAATTAAAAGACTGTCATGTATTAATATTGAATAGATAGGATAAAATATTAAGCATTTAAATTGAAAAACAATAATAAAAAAAAAATTAGCACCCAAATTGCAATTTTTTCAAAACAATGATTTTTTGTCGAAATAAATTTAAATAGAACCTATCTTTTATCACATGACGATTCATTTCGAAAATATCATAATTTTTCAATCCAGGCCATTAAGAGAACTCAAACAAGAAAAAAAAATCAATACTTAAATTCCAATTAAAAGCTGGACATTAAAAATAAAATTAAAAATTAAAAATAGGCATTTAAATTGCAGTTTTCTCAAATGAAAATTGCAAATATATGATTGATTTTGTTAAACGTATCAGAGTCACCAATATACATAGCTTTTTCCTCTCTCTTTTTCCTGTGTGCGCGTCATGTTAAAAGGCGTTTGAGATGGTCATATAAAATTGATTACTTGATATAGTTTCTCACATACTTGTATGCCATTTACTTCAGGTTCGCATCCTTTTCTTAAAAACCTGAAGAAACAGACAACCTCAAAAACAAATGTTCACTCTCTCTCTTTTTTTTAAAAAAAACAAAATGGCTTGGGATTTTGGTTTTTTTTTCTTTTTCTTTTTCTTTTTTAAAGAAAATTGAATTTGGGATTTTTTTGAATTAGAGTATATTATAAATTAGTGTCTCTCATTTTAAAAACTAATTATTTAGTTTTTTAAGTTTTAATTCCATTAATAAATTAATCATTTCATCAATTTTTTTTTAGATTAGTTTTTTTTATTTTTATTTTTTAACATCTTATTTCTCTCTTTTAGCTATTTTCTTTCTCTCTTCTCAACCAAAAATCAAAGAAATAGCAATTTGAAAACAAAATTTAATAATCTAATAAAAAAAACTGATGAAAGGAAAAAGTTATTAACAGAATTAGAAAAAAAAACTAAATAATTAGTTATTTTTTTTAATAATTAATTCATTTATCTAAACATGAGCGACTCATGTATAATTTCCTCTTTTGAATTATAGCTGGAGGTTATACTTTTTTCAAGAGCTTTACAGTGGGCCGAGATAAGGATGCTAAGTGTAAGAACTAACCCAATTTGTGACTTAATTGGGCCTAAATTGATTGTTTATCGCTGCTCTTGAATGCTGGCCCAAACACCTTTATAATTTATGCTTTTTTTTTTTTCCTACTAGCTTACTTATACCTAAGTATTTTATTTATCTATTACATTCTCCACAAAAAAAAAGAAAAAAAAAGGGTTTTTTGTCAACTACAGTAACTATTCAACTGCTGGGTTCTAAACAATGGCAACAAAGCCTTGGTGAAATGGTTAAGAGTTTGTTTTCCAGGTTTAATGCTTAGATTTCAATTAATTTGTAGCCAATCGTTGGGGATCAAGCTACTACTCATGGTATGGGGAGATCCTAAGTTTTGAGATCAGTGGAGAATTGGGCCTAATTTATTTATTATACTTTCCATCTATTTCCTTGCAAGATGCCTTCCTGTCACATGCTAGAATAGCATTTTAGAGAACTTACATTCAACTCAAAAAGATGTTTTTTACCCGGAAAAAGGAAAAAAAAAAAACGCAAAGGTTGCTTAATTATTTTCAGATTTAACAATTGGAATCGAAGAAAAGAATGAATCGAGCAAAAACACAAATTATTAGATTGATGAACAACCTTTAATATCGTTAATGAAATAAACTTAAGATTAAAATAAATAAGAATAAATAAATCAATTTATTTTTATATAATAACTTGAGTTTTTAATATGTAATTACGTTTTTAATTGTATTAATTAAGTTTCTGAATAATATTTTTTAATTTATTTTTTTGATCAATTTTTTTCAACCATAAGCAATTTTTTTTTAATCGAAATACATCTGATTCAAGAGCTAACAAAATAAATAAAAACTTCAAAAATAGAACATATAAATCATATGACTTTAATGAGGTTTTTTTTTTCCATTTCGATTATGGACATTTCAATCAAAAAAATTATGCATGGTAATAGAAATTGATAAAAAAAATTAGAAATTAAAATAATATTCAAATATATGATAAATGCAATTAAAAATGTAAGAACAAATTAAAAATTCAAACTATTATCTAAAAAATATTGATTTATTTATCTAATAAATAAATAAGTACTAGGTTTAACTCCATTATTCTCGTTCTCAACTAAGCAAATCAATCTTATTTGAAAAGTAGGATTAAGCCAAGTAAAGGATCATGATAAAATAAATAAAAAATTCTTAGAGTTGCACGATCATTGATCAGAATGAGTCACATGGGAACCAATTTAATTGATTCTTCTTATGTTATACACTACAAAGGTCCACATTTAGAAATGTTCATTGTATTATGAATAATGGAAGAATACTTTGCATATGGTCACAGAATATTTCGCACATGCCATTTTAGTGTGGATTTTCCAACATATTCGGTTGTTTAATGACCTAAGCTATCATCCCTACGTATGAAAAGCTTAAAAGGAACACCTTCCCTGATCTGTAAGAATATGGGAGACTAGGAGAGCAACAAGTGAACAAGGCACCTTTAATTGTTCCAAAAAGATTTCTTAAGAAAGCAAACTACTTGCTACCATCCAAGAGCATTGGTTTTTGTTTTGGATAGAGATGTACACTTGCATGCAATTTTGTGCTGTAGAATATGTTCTTTATTTATTTATTTATTTATAGCATTGGAGATAGAGATTAGAGAATCATAAAATAACCAATCAGTGAATTTCTTGTATCCATCATCAACCCTATATTGGAGATTGAGAATCATAAAGCCTGCCAATTTGGCACCAGATGCCACCATTATTGGCCGAGAGAAAGACAAGTGGGACTGCAAAATGCCAATCGCCACCAAATGAGTTAGTCCATTTAATGGTGCATACGGTTCCTCTATTTGCTCCAGTTGGCTAACAATAACAAGACCTAGTTACTTGGGCTAGTTTTGTCATCAACAAGGCCAAGAATTGCATTGTCCATGCCAAAGAAAAACGGGTCTTGTACTCTTGTTTCCTTTTTTCTCTTTGTCTTGGGGTTGATGGGGTTGATATCTTCAATGAAGCCAAAAATTGGAAAGGGTCGTTGATCTTTTGTTTTGCGTGAATTAGAAGTTTGGGACACTATATAAAAGGGACAGTTAACCTAAGGGACAAGGGTCCTTGTCGATTTAACCTAATTCCAACTCATTTCATACCAATGCATCATTGGCATTAAATTATCCTATCTATTTGTTAATGATCCTGAATTTATTAATTACAGATCGATGGTTTCTAGCTTTAATAAAGAAGTTAGAGATTTTGATGCGAGGTTTAGACATTTTACATTAACTTTCAATAAACTTTTCGTTTTTTGAGATACGTGCGATGTCGAACTATAGAAGTTAGGTTTGCATTTTACGTTATTGTCATGTTTGACTCCTTGAAATTTTAGCTTTGATCAAATAAAACCTTATACTTTGAATTGGGTCAAATAGCCCCTCTCTCTTGCAATTAAGGACAATTTTAAGATCCTACGTCCAATTACATAATAACATGTGGCTTTGCCCAGCAATTAGAACTAGAGTTGGAATAAGAGACTCGAATTGCCTTAATTAGAAGTAAAGAGGATGATTTGACTCCACCTTTGAGATTCTTCATCCAATTACATTCTAACATGTGGCATTTAGCGAGCCAATTAGATGGTAATAGAGTTGGGTTAAGAGATCAAATCACATTTAGTTAGAAGTAGAGTGGTTGATTTGACTCAATTTATTATGACGAATAAAAACTTCTGATCTATGACTCTTTCATGTAAATGTCAAATATCCATTAAATAAAATAATAATTTACTGCTGACCCATGGAGTTTGGAACAGAACCATGAACGAAGATGTTGATGGAATGATACTTCCAATGAAGCCAAAAATTGGAAAGGTCTTCTTGACCCTTTCGGAGCCTTATATTCTAGCAAACACAAATAAGGTTGATCTTGTGATGAATTGAGTTGCAAGAAGCACCCTTCAAGTAAGGGACAACCAAGCTAAGGGCCCTACTCAGTTGACTCATCATCTCTCTCTTGACATTGGATAGATAGACAACAAATAATAATAATACCACAATAATTTGTATAAAGCTTTCAATTTGTTTTTTTTTGTTCAATTTTAATTCAATGATTTAGATTTTAAAATTATCATAAAATAATATAATATAAGAGGGTATTGTTAAAAAAAGAAGAAGAGATTTGGGTCAAGTTATCCATTACGGGTCGACCCAACAATAAAATTATTTAATTTAAATAAATATTCAAGCAGCTGTTGTGCAATTGATAAGTTATATATATATACATAGAAAGAGAGATAGAGAAATAAAACAGAAACCTTTTTTGATTATGTCTTAGCATTAATTTAAATTGTGAAATTTCACACAGTGATTTAATACTATTGATCTATTGAAACTACTTACAGGTAAATATTATTTCAATCTTAAGTTTTTTATTCATGTTTTTTTATTTACATTTTTTATTACATGTATTAATCCAATATATTTTTTCTAAAACGTAAAAAAGAAATTCCTAAAATCTTATCAAACTTGTCAAGTTTTACTTCTTGCTCACAGTTACATGTAAATATGATGTACCAATTGATTTAGGATAAATAAATCAATTACTTCTTATATAATGCTCAAAGTCTCTATGCGTCTTTAAGTTTTTAATTACATTTCATCTGTTTTTAAATTTTTTTGACTATTTAATTTGTCATTTTGATCAATTTTTTTGAACATAGATTTTTTTTTTTTTATCAAAATACCTTGTTGAAATGCAATATATATATACTTAAAAAATGGAATATACAGATCATATGACTTTAAATGTTTTTTTTTTTTTTCACATTTTGGCAAAGGGTATTTAGGTAAAAAAAAATTATCCATAGTCGGAAAATTTGATCGAAAAGACAGATTGAACATTTAAAAAATTTATCCATGCGTCTTTAATTTTTTAATTACATTTCATCTCGTCTTTAAATTTTTTTTAACTATTCAATTTGTCATTTCGATCAATTTTTTCGAACATAGAAATTTTTTTTTAATCAAAATACCTTCAAAAAAATCTAAATACTTAAAAAATGAAATATACGAGATCATATGACTTTAAATGTTTTTTTTTTTTTCACATTTTCGCAAAGGGTATTTAGGTAAAAAAATTTATCCATAGTTAGAAAATTTGATCGAAAAGACAAATTGAATATTTAAAAATTTTTCAAAGATAGATCAAATGCAATTAGAAACTTAAAAATAATATATATATATATATATAATTTAAGTACTACATAAAAATAGATTGATTTATTTACCCGTTGATATATTCTTGATCTTGTGATTCATGTTGGCTTGGGTAAATAAATACTCAAAAGAACTTGGATCATAGCACACTGAGAATCTGACGCCAAGATTAGACATGGCAGATTGAGCATCAATTATTTTAAAAGTTTGAATCTGAGTTGGGATTTTGAATAAAAATGACATATTTAATTCGTTAATAGCATATGGTGAGAAGGATGTTTCCCTGATCAAGAGAATATAGATAGCATGTGACGCCAGGATTAGACATGGTAAATTGTTCTTAATTAAACAATTGTTAATTAAGCCAATTATGAAATGGTTGTATTTAAAAAATGCAAGCTTGGAATATTTATAACAAAGAGTCAAATTTCTCTAACGAAAACAATCATGTAAGAAGTCAATTTCAGACTTGTCCTTTCATGGTAATCTAACTATTCTGACCTTTTCAGGCCCAGAAAAATTATCATCTATCAAAGGCATGCCACTAATTGAGAAGAAAATAGACCTATTAGCATTGTTCTTAACTACATAAACATATCATTAGTAAACTGATTTTCTCACATTTTTTGCCCCATGATTAGTCAAAGGGAGGGGTTAGGATGCAAATTACAATTTAAAAAAAGTCTGAAGGGTTATAAGGAGTGATGTCAATTGCACCTGTGCCCTCTCATGCCTCTAATGAAGACGGTTGACCTATTCAAGTTGTTTGTCAAGCAATCAAGAGCCTCTATAATTGATTTAAAAAAAATTAAATACTAGCTAACACTATTTAGTTGTTATTTACAAAAATAAATAAATTAATGAAATAATGGTTGTAATTCATATATATTTTTATTAAATTGAGAATATGATAAAAATTATATATGATGCTTAAGTTGGGGCAGATTAGAAAAAATATATATATATCATTCCTGATTCTATGTCTGAGATGATCAATGAGATACTTTAGGGCTTTGAGTTGTCTTGGAGTAATTTATTTATGCAAAAGTCTTTCTAAAATTGTTAATGACTGTACTTGGGATTACATCACCTTGCAACTTAAATTTGTGGACTCAAACATCTAGTAAATTATGAATTAGTCCCTTTAATCTTAAGAAATAAATTAATTAATCTTTTCTTGTTTTAAAAACTAATCATTTGTTTCTTAATTAGTATTGATCGTTTTTAATTTAATATTATTTTGTTTTAAAAAAATCTTCTTTCCATAATATCTATTTTTTTTTCTACATTTTAAAATAAAAAACTTTTGTTTGTTTGTGAAAAATAGGATTTGGTTTTGGGTTGCCATATGTTCGTTTTAATTTAATATTTTTTTATTAAAAAAAATCTTTTTTCTCATCAATTTTTTCATAATATTAATTTTTTTTTGATATTTAAAACAAAAAAAAAATTAGAAAAGAATATAAAATAAACAAAAAAGCTAAATAATTAATTTTTTGAAACTAAAAGGATTAATTTATAATTTACTCCTCCGACATCCTTCTCCGGAGTCTGGTGCATCTGAACATGCGAAGTCAATGAGTACGACAAAGTTTAAAATACAGAAATTTTGTGTTGACAAATTTTGGTCTCTGATTTTCTAAAACTCAGAATCTGTGGTATTGACAAACAAGTGCCTCACTTGTTGGTAATTATGGATTTTCAGCCTCTGGTTTTGCTAAAAAGTCAATCATGTTATCCCATGTAGGCCAAGAGTATCAGAAACTTCCATTAAAAAAAAATTATTAATTTTGAGTGGTTTATACTTCATCTGAATTAGCATCAGCGTATGGTTGGTGGGTATGGAAGGGCAAATAGTTGAAAGCAGTTTTATCCCTTCAAAAGATTATTATCAAAAATAATTTTGAGGAAATAAATATATTTTTGAAAAAAACAACAAATTAAAGAGGATGCTTTTGGCGACACTAAAAAATTTCTATCTCCGATCTGTGTTTCCAGAGTCTTGAGAAGAATGTGCAACGCTTTTTCTACTTTTAGCGACAGGCATCTTCGCCACTTCTTCTCCAGTCCCTTAAAATCAAAAGCTCTAATAAATGTCGAAGTAAGGAAACATTTACCTATAAGGGCAAGACGTATTTTTTTTTTGTGTAATTTACACAATACTAAATTTTCTTTCAGATGATCTTATGGACATATTTTCTATATCAATTTAATGCATTGAAAAGAATAAAATTTTTATGCATGGTTTCAAAGGTTTGAAATTAAGAAATAAAAGAAATAAAGTGAATCTTCCTGACCGTCAAAACTATTCGAAGTAATAGTCTAGTATGTATTTATATAATAGAGTCAATGTTTAATATGTTTTTATATTTTTAAAATAAGTCATTTATGTTATTATATTTTAAGTAAATTTTCGATATGTCTTTTGGTGAATTTTTCAGTTAAATCACCAAAAAAAATCACGTGATTTGTAAATAACTAATCTTTTTATTAAAAATACCCCTTAATTGAATGTACGGAAGTCATGTTTTTTTAGGGACATTTTGGAAAAAAAATAGTCATATGCAAGTCAAATAATTTTTTTTTTTTGTAATAACCAAAAATTTACTCATTTTGTTTTATTTTATTTGTGTTATTTATTATTTATTTTGTTTTATTTTTTTATTATTTCACATTAGAATTTATTACAAGAAACCAAAAAACAAATGATGAAAAAACTAAAAAAAACGTTCATTCAAGGGGCACGGTTGCATTTAAAGGAAGGTATAATTGAGATAATTAGGGGTATAATCGAACCAATTGAAAAAATTTAGAACCTAAATTACACCCTACATGGACCCAATTGATAAGATTATGCTTTATAAAGATTGAAATTGTATCACATGAGGGTAGGATCTGCGACAATTGAAATTCACAAGGACCAAATTAGACTTTCGAGTGAACGACATGACCGAAATGGAGAGGACGAACTATCGTCCACTCCAAGTAGATTTCTCTCCGAAAATCTTTGGGAGAATGCGGCCAAATCTTCCCTCAATTTTCTGTTTTGATTTCGCATTTATCATGATTTTTTTACTGAATTAATATCAAGCAATCACTAATTTCTTTCCTTGTTGATTAGCTAATCGAATCAGGAATTTGAGATTTGACGGAAAAAATCAAGATTTGTTGGTTTAATTCTAGGAGAAAATCAAGCGATTTTGTGCCTATAAGAAGGGTCTCAATACACAAATGAAAAGGAGGGGAGATTGGGGGGAGAAGTTCGGTTAAAAGAGAGTGAAAACACGAGCTAAAAATTCAAAAATTGGGGTGACGATTCTTGGGTTTCGGGTTCGTGTTCTTGGGATTCTTGGTGTTCCCGATTTTAGTTTATCGGCCAACGAGTCTTTTTTTAGTCTTTTGTTTGGTGTTTTTCGGGGTTGATTTCCATCCCCACGTGTCTCTAAATCCTACGTCTTAAGATTTGGGTTCAAGTTCTTCAATTATCGAGTTTCCTCTTTGAAGATTACGGGCATTTGTTCTTCATTTTACAGGCGAGTTGAACTCGTTCTTCCTAGTTACGGGTTTTCATTTTTGGATTTTAATCCCAAACAATCAACATCGATCACTCCTCATCATCCGTAGATCATCCCAACAACTCGTTTTTCACACTCCCTAGGCAACAATTAATCTTCCCTCTTTCGAAGCTCCAGGTCTATTGTTTGCTTTCTTTTTTGAATTATTCATGTTTATTTTTCTAGCTTGGGTTACTTGTCATCCGATGTTTTTGCTATCATCCGAAGCTTTTCAATTTCCACTTGTTTGAGTTTCAATGAACAAAATGCAAGCGAGTTCAATTAACTCCGGGGATTAAATAAGGGGATGACTCATAAAAACTAAAAAATAGAGGGGAGACCAAAGAATCGAAGAACAGAGAGAGAGAGAGCGAAAGGATTGAAAACTCCCATATGATCCGGAAAAGAAGTAAAACAAAAGGGGGTTTGTTTTTGGGTCTTAGCCCGACTTAGTTCTTTTAGAAAAAAAAAAAAAAAGGGAAACGTGATTTGGGCCAAACCCAACTCACGTTGGACGAAAGTCGGCGATCCGGCCTTAGTACGGACAACGAAACAAGGAGGAAGGAGGTTGGATGTGAGTCCGGTCCTCCCAAACCTTTCCTCCGAAAAAAAAGAGGGAGATTAGAATAAAAGCTGGAGCTAGTCCGGTTTGACCGAAGCAAAAGTGGAAATAAAAAAAAAAAGAAATAAAAAAACAAGGCAAGTGAGGTTAGGATTGGTCCGGTTGGTTTAAAAAAAAATAAAAGAAAAAAAGGAAAAGAAACGGAATGGGTAGGAAAGTTATCATAGGTTTAGGGTTTGGTGTCCAAAATCATTTCCTTTGATATTTTAATTTTTTTCCTTCTCTCTTTTCCTCTTTAAGCCTAATTGTTTTTTTTTCTTGTCGCTTCTTGCATTAATTGAGGTTTTAATTTTTTTTTTGTTATTAGATTAAAAAATAAAAAGTTCAAAATTTTGGCGAAGTCACCTACATGATAGAGATTGACGCCACAAAAAATAATAATATAAAAAATATATATAGAAAAAAATAATTTTGACGAAGTCTCCTATCTAATAGGGACCGACGTCACCAAAATATATCTAAAATTTTTGACGAAGTCTCCTATCCGATAAGGACCGACGTCACAAAAAAATATAAATTTTCGATGAAGTCTCCTATTTGATAGAGACCGACGTCACTAAAAATCAATTGTTTAATCGGGATGTCCTCCGACACGTCGGTTGTGTCAAGGTTTTTAGTGGATCCGATGTTTGAACCGACATGTCACCCGATGAAGGAGACCGACTATCGTTTCAATACGATGCCACACCCAAAATAAAAAATTTAGTTTAACTTTTTAAAAAAATAGGAGTTTAAAAATTAGAAAATAGTCCGATATGGATTTTTAGGAGATGAATTTAGGACTAAATCATACATGGCACCTTTTTTTCGAAAAAGGCACTTTTAGGTGATTAAATATCTTCCTAAAAGCGTAACCAACTCCTTACCTTATGAATCTCTTAACCGAGTGCTACTTTTTAGGTTCCTAGTTCCTTAAATACTAGGTGGCGACTCCGAACTCTATAAATAAACTTATGAATAATTAACTTAACATAGATTTCATCTTTGGGGAGTCCCATCCGATGTCGTGTAGCGACGGAATGGGGACTCCACTAGGGACTAGAGTTAGATCATAGATTTAGTTTTTTAATTTATCTCCTATGTTTATTATTATTATTATTAATTTTTTTGTCATTTTATTTTCTAAATTCATTTTTTTGTATATATTTACATTCTTGTAATTTATTTTACGCATTTTATTTTCTCATGGCATGTTTATTTTTTGAATTGGGTTACATATTTTTGTTTATTCACGTTGCACACACCACGAAGAAAACCTATAAAAGCTCTAGACCCGAGCTAAACCCCGATAGGATTTAGATAGAGAGATCCGGAGGCGAGTATGATGAAAGTCTACCGATGCTCGTTCCGGACTCTCATTTGGATCGAAACTCACCCTATACATCGAAAATGATGGAATAACCTTCCCCTACCTCTAGTGTATAAGGTTAGAGGTTGGATTACCCCATCGGTAATTTAGACGGTCTAGAAACTTGAAATATCTTTAGGACTAGTCAAGCTTTGCTCAACCAAAGAAAAGCTAGATCTTGTCTATTAGGGTTGACCCAATTAAGACACGAATAATTATCAAATGATGTTGATACTAACCCTTGATATTCTAAGGGTATTTTTATAATTTTTAGTAAAAGTTATCCTTCGTATTAAATCATAATCAAAGAAGTCAAAAATAAGGTCGAGGATTTTATATCGAATTTGAGCGGGCCCGAAATGATGAAGGAGATTGTCCGCCCTTAAATTTTATGTCGAGACTCGCGAAAAAAAGTTTCGCCTTTTGTGTGCTTATAATAAGAGTTATTTCATCATTCCAAAATCAAGTCACGACCGAAATTGGGGGCATACATTTCTCCCTAATCGCCCAAGTATCCGTGGGGTAATTTTGCCCTCGGCGAGTACTAGCTTGGTTTAACCCATCCTCGATAGGATTCTCGTCATGATTTAATGTGCAATAAAATAAAAAAAGGTATCCAACCTAGTTTAAAATCATGCATTTGTATTAAATATTTATTTGTATATATTTGTTTTGCATTTCCAATGAAGTGAACATAGGGTGCTCCACTCAATCCCCTCCGTCTCGTCTACAACACTTGACTTCGGACTCGTCAAATGGAAAATGAAAAAAGACCACGACATGAGGCAATCAATCGGTAAAAGTTTGACTCATTGAAAGAGAGTGTGGCTCGGATGACATCCCTATTAGAACAAGCCTTAAGAGACGGAAACAACCGAAGTACCTCATGTTATTCCATTGCCTAATCGGTCGTGGAATTCCAATCAAGCAACTTTTCGAGTCGATGGCTCACATCCTGCTAGGGCATTTGCTTATCCCATGGACCTACGAGTCTCGTAAATGCCACATATGCCCCCGTAGATCCTGCGAAGAAGAAATTCACGTTTATAGGGTAGTCGAAGGTCCAAGTATGGACAAACTCATAGCATTAGAAGAATGCCTAAGGGTAATAGAGGGGCGAGTGTCTACGATCCTGTCAAAGCTGCCGAAATGTGATGCGGTAATCCCGAGGAAGTTTAAGGTGTCAAATTTTACTAAATATATCGAAACCCAATGTCTTATGACCCACTCGAGGGTATACTCGCAGTAGGATGGCGAGATGTTGTTCACGATGAAAAACTAGTCATACATTTCTTTCATGAAAGCTTAGGTGGATCGGCATTGAGTTGGTATATGAG